TGATGGATTCCAAGAAGATTCAAACCATCATAGATTGGAAGATTTCAAGAACAGTATGAGATGTGTAATGCTTTTTGGGCTTTGCTAATTACTATCGAAACTTCATCAATAATTTTTCTCAAGTTGTAGCTCCACTTATACGTTTGACTTGTAAAGACAAACTTCAGTGGAATAAAGAAGCAGAAGTATCATTTGATGCTTCAAAGAAGGAGTTTATTTTTGCACCAATCTTATGTTACGTTGACTTCTCCAAACTTAGAAGTATCAAGCCTTCTTCAAGGCTTAAATAAATATTCTAGTTTCTTTACTCTACTTAAGTTTGTCTTTATATGTCAAGCTTGTAAGAAGAATTGCAACTTGAGAATAGTTTTTAATGAAGATCTAGTAATAATTTATAAATTCCAAAGAATATTATACATCTTTGCTTATTTTTGGAATCTTCTAATCTATGATAGTCTAGACCTTTTTAAAATCTATTATAAGACCATCATTTGAGATAATATTTTCTAAGAAGTCAATTTAAGTAGTATGGAATACACACTTCTTTTTTTTATATATAATCTTGTATTTTTAAATTTTTGTAACACATAACAAATATGAAGTTCATATTATTTTTTGTTTTTAGAATAGATTAGAATGTTGTCTAAATAAAAAATAACAAAATAATCAAAGAACTCACAAAAAAATTATCTATGAAATATTGAAAAATAGTTGGTGCATTTGTGAGACTAAAATGCATGACATTATATTCAAAATATCCATATTTAGTTCAAAAATTAATCTTTTATTCTTTTTTTTCTTTGATGAAAACTAAGTTTTATGCTCTTTATAGATCTATTTTTGAATAAATCTTTTCTTGATTGAATTGATCAAGAAGTCTTAAAATCAAAAATAAAAGATACTAATTTTTAATGGTGATCATGTTAAATCTTTGATAGTCTATGCACATCCACACAAATCTATCTTTTTTCTTCAAAAACAAGATAGGAGCTCTTGCAAGAAATTTTGAATAGCATATGAAGTTTTTAACCAAATTCTTATCAATGTATATCTTTAGTACAGCCAACTCATTCTGCAATAAGTTATAAATCAGTCAAAATAGTGGTTAAGCTCTTTCTTGTAAATTAATTAAACATTCATAAGATTAATACTTTAGAATAATATATGCATTTTTCTTTTCAAAAAATATTAGAATTCTTGATATTAGCTAAGAATATTATTTAATATTTTTCTACCATCACAAATAGGCATAGCATATATAACAAAAAATGACCTTTTTTTTGCCATATGCATAAAAGCTCTTGTACCTATAAATAAGGATTTTGATATATTAAATTTATGTATTTTTATTTAATTAATAGAATTTTGGATTTAACTATAAGAAAAATAAAGGTTATAAAAAATATAATCTATCTAAAGATATATTTTTTTAACTATGATAATTTTAAAATAATCAAATTAAAGGAAGATCTTATTATATTAAATATTACCATGCTATTATGATCTTTAATTGTTATATCTAAAGAAATAGTCTCATGGATAATATCTCCAAAAGATAACAAATGACTATCTATGACTTCTACAGATATAAGTTTAATTTTCTTGGTTAAAGATATTTCTTATTTTTTTACAGAGTCTTCATCTATAAAATAGGCTAAGGCTCTCAAATTTAATACTATAAAGACTTTGTGATTTTTAGGTCATAAAAATATATCTATTATAAAACATGGTGAGAGATTTGAGGAGAGAATAGGACTTTATTAGGTGTTATACATGATTTTAGCTGCACAATTCTTATTGTAGTTAGAAAAACTTATTTTTTTGACATGTTGTCTTCTTTAGCAATCATACTCTTCATTTTGTAATTGCATTACTTCTTTGAACAATTTTGATTAGTGTGTTTAGCATCTCCATAATACAAGCAAAAATCTTCTTAGTGATGTCAAGTCTTTTCCTACTTCTTAAGAGATTTAAAACATACTATATCAATTTGTATTGATTTTGGCCTTGATGAATAATTTTTTAAAAATTTGAAAGCTACCATTATGATTTGACTTACTCCTCTCCAACCAAATCTTTTTTCTTGATGCCTTTCAAATAATCAATTGTTGTATGCAATAGCTTGAGCAATAAATTATTTTAAAGAATCTACTTTTGATATTATCAATAACAAATCTTTGACATTATCCTTCAATCCATATCAAAATTGATTGATAAAAGATTCATCATTTTAGTCGACATTGCAAGCAAGGTTTTGGAATTCAATAGCATATATGGTGGTTGACTATGATCCTTATTGTAAAGATAAGAGTTTGGTCTTTGCTACTCTTTTTCAATCAATTTCTCTGAATGTGGTTGCAATCACTTTTAGAAATGAATTCAAATCATAAAAGAGGAGTGAATCCTTTTCCATCAAAGGCACAAAGCAAGAAAAAGCACTTCTAGATAGAAGTGTGTTTATAAATTCATCTTGAATAAATCCATTAGGATATTGGAAAGAATGCAATTCTAGATAAAACTTGACTTATTGCAAAATAATCTTTAAAATTTTAATCTTGTTCTATCAAACTTCTCAAGTATATTAATTCTTATCCTTGTTGTACTTGTAGAAGCAAGACTTCTTGGATTTGGTTGTAAAGCCAATCTATTTGTTTCCTTCAATTGCACAACTTTTTGATATAGACTTTAAATTTTTCCCATAGGCATAATATTAATATTTTTATGGTTGGCTCTAGTGACGCATGAAATTTCTATTCTAAGAAAGTTGACAAGCTTGTTAAGATTTGCTATAGTTACAAATCTAGTCTCATTTTTTCCAAATATAGTATCTATGATTTTACCTTTCATTTCAAAAAAATTAATAAATCTACAAGTTAAATTAGAAGAAAGTAATCCACAAGCTCTAATATCAAATGAAAATTTCTACAAAGAGAGGTAATCCACTCTCTTTAAGGAAAAAATCAGTATTAGAAAACTAAATAGTTTGTTTAAAAGTGGGTAGTCTGCAACCTTCAAAATACAAAAATAGAAGTGAGGTAATTCATTCACTTCTTAAACAAAATAAGAACAATGAATTAGTACTCTTATTAAACTATCAAGGACATGAGTTTTAAAGAAAGAAAACTCAAGATACTCTTGTATTACTCAAAAAGATTAAAAAAATACTCAAAGATGGTAATATATTGAACTAGAATGGCTATTACTTAAGACAAGAAGACTAGAAAGTCTTAAAACAAGAATAAAGACTAGAAAGGTGTTGATAAGAGTGAAGAAGGTTTTACTCTTGCCTCCATAAATACTATCTAATTAAGAGCTACATAGTAATGTTCTATAAGATCTCCAATACATATTGACTTTATTAAACACATATCTTAACTTGCAAGGCAAGTTTTTTATATGTGCGCCACATATTAAGCTTGTTCTACAAGCTATTAACATATATGGTATGTGGTTAATTTGTTGACCAAGTTTCTAATCTATGAATTAGCTACAAACACATGTAAAGTCAAAATCGCATCTATAAAGCCTCTGGGAAGCTTTCCTAAAAGATATTATGAAATTAATCTATATTTACCTATTTCTATCTAATCATATAGGTAATTATTGAAATAAATACGTATGTTTGTGACATGCTATGAAGATGAAAAATCAACAACCATCAAATTCAACTCATGAATAATTATTTATTGAATTACTAGATAAAACATTTTCTTTCTCCTTCCATCTTTTTTTCACTTAATGTTTTTATTTTTTTCAAACAACATAATAAAAGAAGGCATCATCTTTTATTTTTAACATATTCCTATAAATAATAATCTCTAATACAAACATTATTTAGGAGATAGGTTTTTAGATTTTTTTTGTAAAGAAATTTTCTATATATTATTTAATAACATATTTCATAATTTTATTCATTTTTTATTTATATCCTTTTTATATTAAAATCTTGATTAAAATGTTTTTGATGTAAAAGATATTTTATTATTTTACAATTATATATGAAATCAAAGAATAAGATGGCCTTCGAAAGCATAAAGTTTCAAAATTGTTATTTTAATGAATCAATTTTTTTGTTATATATCATATTTTATCTTAGAATTGGACCTTTTGATGTTGTTAAGGATACAAGATTAAAAGACTAAATTATCAAGAGATACAAGAAAAACAAAACTCTCCAAGACTTATTTTAAGCAGGTTGAGAATAAATCAGAATGTAAATTTGTACAAGTTTTGCATATGATAAGAAAATGTTATTTTGTAAATGATGAGGCTCATGCGAACACTGTGTGAATTCAGAAAATGTATTGAAAACAGAAAACCTCTTTTATAATAATGTTGGTTTTTTAAATGGTTATCATTCAGAATTGAATTTGGATTCATACACAATTATCAATTTTGACAATTTTATATCATAATGTAAACAAGACAAGCATTTGACAATGGAGTAAAGCAATATTATTAAAATAAAAAAGTAGACAGGTTCATTTCTAGGATATTTCAGACTTAAGAATTTACTTTTATGTACATTTTTTTTAAATTAATATTCATCTTAATCAAAGGAATTACATTAAATGAACAACTTCACACTTCCAAAATTATTAGCTGTATTGATTAGGTTCTCTCATTGTGTATATAATCGTATGTATATACATATATATATATATATATATATATATATTCTTTTTTATCTTATTTAAACATATATACCAAAAATAGAGTGCTTGTAAGAGAATTGATGGATGTAATTCCATCACAAGAGCAACATTTTTAATAATTTCAATCATTTTTCAAGTTTTACCAATAATGTTTTTCACAGCATGCGTGTATGTGCACCAAACCAACAACATACATCAATAAATACCCATCAGCCAAACAACATCCACATTTCATAGAACTTGAGGATTGGGACCTTTGGATTCAAAATACATTCTGCAGTCCTAAGTTGCTCATAACCCCTAAATCCACCACAATGAGAAGACACAGGAACACACTTTTAGATGTAGACAGCAGGAATAGACAGTACACAGAATGTCATTATCAATACACGAGCGTACTATCAAATAAACCAACTAGTTTTGTGGTACTCAAGACTAGAGAAACGACACTCCAAATCAGGGGATAAGAAAACGCTCATCCTCCAATTCTATCCGGGTGGGTTGGCACACCCCAGCGCATTCAGTCCTTCAGATAGAGCGTTGAATGTCGTCAACAGTACAGCCACTTTGTCGCAACACATCAGTTCACAAAGAAAAGTTTGAAATCTGAGTAAACTATGGCGTTCCTTTTGCTGGTTGACAGAACACCTCATGAGAAACATGTCGCAAGGAAAATTACCTGGTCTTGCGAGGTAATTAAGTCTAGGAGCCTGCTGGAAATAGGCAGAGTACAGTTGGGTTATAAAAACCGCAATAACTGTTGGGTTCCAGATGCAAGTTTTTGGAAGCACGTACCGGTAAAACAGCGAAGTACCCATCATATGGCAAGTACAGCCACTCTGCCTAGACTTCAACGAGCTAATTTCCCATAACCATTGCAAAAAGCTAAGCTACTTGGTTGCACCCTCGAAGGTTCGAAATAAGCCAGTATTTTACAAGTCAGATATCATTTTGTGATCACACTTTAGGCAGAAAGATGCCCAAGCGCATGCAGCCCGCAGTCACAAGAACTAACGAGGCAACCCAATTATTTCAAGATTGGTCAGTCTTGGACGAGAGACGATGTCTTCATCGACCCCATTCCAAGTGGTCCTGAAGATGAACTATGTCCTCAAATACATGAGGGAGGAAGTTGGTCCCTGACGCAAGAGAATTGAGGCTGTAGCGGAACAACAAGGCTTCAGCGTACCCTAAACTCGAGGTAACACTACACCTTCTCATCCAAGCTTCTCAAATAAAAGCCTCCCCTTTCATTAGTTCCGTGACACTTCTATCGCAGCATCACCTATCATGCCACGGCCTGCGGACAAACGTAAACACGAATTCAGACAAATACATTTCAAAGTGAGCCCCTACATGAATATCTCACCAACTTTGAGAACCTAGAAAACCATGTCAAAAGCAGCAACTTACAATTCTTACACTGTGTTATTGCAACGCTTTTCGAAGTAATTACTAACTTTCAGAACTCCTCCAAATTTACAAAGCTGACAGCATAAGCATTTCTTCGACCAAATAAACCAAACAAGTGAACCAAACAAGTCATAATACAAGTAACATTCAATTGGCAGCTACTATCTGCCCAACCTAGCTAAGCTAATCCCAATATCCGAACGAATGTGAAAGGTGATACTCATAAAAAAGGAATTAAATAGATCTGATTCGTTTTCACTTCAGTAGAGAAGGGCATAGATAGAGATGAACCTCCGATTGATATTAAATTCCCGAATGCCTCCATGGGAATCGAAGCTACTGGAGCACGTGGAAACTCCAGGCCTAGAATTTATAAGCCCATATTGCCAGTCGGTTGATTCATCTGTGGGTGAAACATTCAAGTTTTTGTTTTCCCAGCGCATCCTGTCCAGAGGAACTGATCTTTCTTGACTAGGCACATACCTGTTGTCAAGAGCTGTACTCCCTATCCCATTCCACAACGCTATAGAAAAGCTAGAACTGGGAACAGAATCTAACACTGCATCCTTATCAATAGTTTTTGATGTTGACCCGAAAATCTTTCCTGCTTCTCGCACTACTGATGGTCCAGAAACAGACAGTTCTTTACCAAGCCGTTTGCAGCTTCTTGGTGAACTGGGGTCAAAGTGTGATCTTTTGAGAACTTGATCTGTATTGTGTGTTTCCCAGCAAGCTTCCACCTCAAGCTTGCCTCCAATTTCTGAACCGGCATAGTTTACAATTCCTGAAAAATGAGCAATTCTAAAATTAAACTTCCAGAACATATTCAAAGAAGAAAAATAAATAGATAAAACCTAAAAACATAAAATAGGGCTGTAAATTATTAGAATTTACAGAGTCTTAATGAGTTCGAACAAGGCTAGCAAGGAAAAACAAAGTTATACAAACAATTGAAGATAGGTTTGATTTTAAAGTTGTAGTATTATAAATTTCAAAATGAGTGGCGTTTCTTCATATTTAACCAATAAATAAATCAATGGATGAGAGAATCATTTTCTATTGGTTAAAAAACAAGAAACACCATTCGCTCTGGAGTTTGACTACCTTATCCAAGTTAAACTCACTCAGGTTGCTTCAGAACGTAATGTTGTCCAATTCAATGTATATTCATTTTAATTGTATCCACTTAAGATGAGGTGTTTCCAACTAAGATAGGGTGATACCAACTTCAGTTATCAACATCTGAAACGGGAGAGTTGCAGCATCCTGTTGAATAATTTTTTTAATACGTATAGGTCTTATATTTCTAAACGTCTACAACTGTACGATTAAAACTAATTGAAGGACCACTTCTGTATCATGACTCCTTTCACTAAACTAGAGCTGGCTAAATTACGGCTATAAAATTTCTACATAAACTTGCTTGCATCTGTATCCACTCACCATTTGCAACACATGGACGATCTGTCTTGGACCTGAACTCAGAATTCACAACTTGGGTCCCGTCAGAATGTGAAATTTCAGGTTCCGCAGAAATTTCAGAGGCTTTTTCTGCACCACCAGTCTTGTAAGGGGCGATGTGATGCGTGGCAAGCTGTAAAGAACCTAGGAGATCATTCTCTATCACCTCATACCTGTGACGAATACCACATGCAACAACTAAGTTAGGAGCATGGCAACTTGATTGAGAGGACAATATTCATTTCGCCTGCATCATTTCAGAAGAAATTACAAATGCAAAACGAAAAACAGCATGTTCATCAAGACTCTTAGTTCTTCTCACATTAATAAGGATCCCCAGATAATCTAAACAACTCTAAAAAGCAACTAGGATGCTTCAAAAGCAGACAGGAAATATAGTTTAAGACTAAAGAATGCCAATGATGTAAGTTCTAGAGTTCCTAGAACGACGAGGAAACTTACATGCGCCTGCACAGACCGTCCGTCAAAGTGGTAAAATTAATAACTTGCAGACGAATATCATGCACATAATTGTCATCAGTATCTTCATCCAAAGGTGTCTCCACCGCCTTCACGAGCTTAGACAAGCGCTCCACAGTTTCCTCCAACTTCTGCTGCTGATCCTCGAACAAATTTTGATTAATAGCATTCTGTTCTTCAGAGATATCGTCCTTGAAACTATCATTTCCAAACATGAAGTAGGCGAATGCAAATGAGTAGGATAGAGCCCGGCGGGCATGAAACAGCCTCTGCATACCGGCAGTAAGCCAGCTGTAATCCTTCACTTGACACTGGCTTTCTTCTAATCCAATGATCTTCTCTTTAACAGCTTCTTCCTGTTTCTGTTCTAACTTTAAAGAATCCAGGTGTCCTTTCCAACGCGAGTGGTAGTGAATGTATCGTTTTAAGTCATGTTGTGCTTTTGCAGCCTCTCTCGCTTTCTCGTCCCTAAAACGACCACAGCTGTGCCCCTCGATGCTATTCCAATTGTGTTCTCGACCAGTTGCTGCTCCACATAGCCAACTGCAAGCTTACATGAGAAGCGTTAGTCAGCTTGTAATTTTGTTTAACTGTAGGGTTAGAATATGAACGCTCACAAAATAGAAACAGGCGAATGGCTTACCAGAAGGCCTGGCCGCAAATACAGCTGACAAGATTACAACCACCATTTTTCTCCACTGGTTTGTGGCACTTCGGACAAGGTTTAGTGTGGACGGTGAGCCAATTTACTGTCTCGGACTCATCATTGCACTTCTTGTCCCACGAAGCCCACATGTGGCAAGAGCACGGAGAGTGAGGTTCAGCCATACAGTTGAAGCAGAATTGCTTCCCACATGTACACTCGATCTCACAGAAAGGATCGCCCTCCAATCGAATAGCATTGCCACAATGAGGCACACTAGGACACCATTTCACTTTAGCGTTGTCTTCAATGTAAGACTCCAAAAGGAACCGCTCATAGCGCTCAACAGACTCCGGATCTTGTGAGCCCACCAGCTCCCGTACTTTGTCTTCGTCGCAGATCGCACCACACTGGTGCGACATACACGTTATTCGTCGGCTCTGACCATCCTTTATTTTGATAATGAAATATTTTGTCCAACCTGAGTGTAAAATTGAGTCAAAATCTCAGCTCCACAGACAATCAAACGAAGACAAGTCTTGCCTATGAGAATTTCCATTTCTATTTAACAACCGAGTTTACAGAAACAAGTGGAATCCGATAATAGTCCTTACATTCATTGCAAAAGGCATGTCCACAATCCATTCGTGTGACTGCACTCATTGACACGTCTTCTAGACATGTTCCACAATCAACACGCTCGCTTGGATCATCGGCAACTGGCACTACAAACTCCGTCTCAGGTGGTGGTAAACCAGCTTCTAAGAAAACTGGAGCATAACCCTTCTCCACAGCGGCACTCAACAGATTCTCTAAATTCCACCGATAATGTATGAGCAATAGACGTGCATGGCGGGAACTTAATGCCAAGATTTCCTTAACTTTTCTCAGATCCTCACTCTGTTAACAAAACCCACGAAAATCCGTGAGAAGGAGAGACCAAAAAAATCATGAATAACAAAACGAAATAAATTGAGAGAGGGGGAGAGAGAGAGAGAGAGAGAGAGAGAGTAAAATAAACTAAGTTACCAAGTATCTGTGGGCTAATGCATCCACGAGAATACCAGCGCAATTTAATCCTGAATATCTTTACAAGTCATAGACGACATGACCAAAAAAATGCAGTAATATTTGAGTCAAGACACTGGTACAAATATCTATACCAAGTAGGCAAATGAAGCTCTAGTAGTGGCTGGACAAGCATACATGGATGTTCTCCAAAAGAAGAAATGTAATTAATATATTTCAAAAAATATTTATACAATGTATATATATATATATATATATAGAGAGAGAGAGAGAGAGAGAGAGAGAGAGAACTATTTACAGAAAACACCAACCTGTGCCGCGAGAAGGGACTGCCTTGTGATAACCTGAAAACAGAAAAGGCAGCAGATGTCAGATCAAAATGTAAACAACAGAAAGTGGCGAAAGATGAATGCCTATAATAGTTGCCCTAATTGAGTAGCTGGAGGTATCTGTAATACTAGACGCACATAATCATCTGGTATGCAAACATTGCATTGAATTGCACTGCCCTTTCACACTTGCAATGCAATTTCATAAATGCTGCTCTAAAAGTATGTGACCAGGTGAGGTGCACAGAGCTATACGCATCATAAAGACCTAATTCTTAATTTATCACAACTAAAGTGCGAACGATTACGAAGAAATATCCTCCTGCAAACATTGCACTCAAACCCCTGACTAAGTGCTCATGAAACATACTCAGAGCGAGCACCAACCTCCAAATACTAAGTTCGACTCAGGTATAACACATCAAATGCACCCGGCTGAACACACTTAGGTGGCAACACGCATGACTATTCCATTCCAAGACATTGCTTGTGCACATTCGATTGAACAAAACAAACGCTTCGTATGGAAATACAGAGTTCAATGCCAAAGCAACACCTTGTGACTAGTAAATGATTTTCCATTTTGAACCAAAATCTCCTCGTCGTCTCCATATCCAGAGCAATCTTCATCATCTCCAAAATAATCCTCCTCGGACTCTGTGCCTTCATAATCACTGTCGTAATCCATGCTGTCGTCACCCATGATCAACCAATGACGTACACTAAGGAACCGCCAAAATTCCACCTGATTGATCCAGTAACTACGTTCTGTTGAATTGCTGCAAAGGAAAAATTTCCATAAGGTATCTCCTTGCCGATTGATCTCATACACCTCCAATCCTGCTAGAAAAAGAAAAAAACGGACATGCAAGTATTAGATTTAACTCTAACACTGCCTAAATAAAATCCTTGAAAATTAAAAAAGACTGAAGCAAGAAGTAAAAGTTAGAACGAAGCGCTAGACTTTATTTCCCCACTCTGCTATAAATGGCTCCGAACGAACAAAGACAAAACAGTGCTGTTGAACTGCTTCAAATTCTTGCCAAATGTGCACAACCAGCAATTCAGGGATGTGCTTATCACGTCTTATGCAGCCACCCAAACAACAAATACGGGCAATCGGACAATGACAGGGCTTAACCACCAACAAGGACTGAACTACGCCTTAAGTCTAAGAACCAGCAAGAACCACCAAGTCTGAGACAATGTAAAACTAGATACTAAAAACTGTCACCAATCCATTAGCTCGTCTGCAGAACCTTGGGTTGAACGCACAGAAACAGACCATACAGACAAGACCACAGTGCAAGCACTGTCGGCACTCTTCATCCGTAGAAAGTCCCGATTACTCGCACGGAGCACGCAAACCTGGACGGAACAATTCCTAATCCCCGTCCCCCGTCCATTCATCCTACATACCGACGCATCCTCTCCCACAAAAAAAAAACGGACAATACTGTCATTTCCGAACGGCCGACGTGTCTCTCGCCAAGAACACCACTCCACGGCCACAACAAAAACAAATCAAAACTCCGTTCTCGCTCCACCACCAATGCAACTCCGGAATTGCATGCACTCGACCTACACCAAGTCCAACGTACCAATTCCGACAATTACTGAATCCAACTCAGACAGCGGAAGTGTACACCGTGTACAGTGCCGACTCACGCTCCACAGTCGGTCACACCGTGTAGTCGAACAAGCAAAGACAGAAATCAACCACGGGCGACAGACACCAATTCACTCAAAACACCAAAAAAATAAATAAATCAATCAATCAATCAATAACAATAACACATTTCCTCCTCCATACGTGGACCGCGCTTCTTGGAGGCAACCGACAACAAGCCGAACGCTGACACAAGGCACAGGAACGAACATAACAAACCTCGCACCGGCGTTAAAACGCCGATTCGAGCACGGCGTGGTTCCGCCGAGAGGGGAGAGCGTGACGGAGCGATCAGCAGGCATACGAAGAGACCTAAAGGTGCAAGAGGGGACGAAGAGCGCCGGGAAGGGGAAGAGAAGGGCGTGGCGATGGCGGAGGGGGGCGTTAGTCCCTTTGCAATAGAGAGTGAATAACAGAGAAATAGATAGGAAAATAATAAAGTGAGAGGAGTCTGTGTTCTCTTCGGCTTCAGCGAGAGCTTCGCAGCTTGTGGGGCTCCGCCTGTTTTATGCCTTTGCACCTAAATTTGGATATTTGCGTTCATCTTTACTGACATTTTCTGTTCGTTCAACGGTTGCAGACTGCGGGGGAGGCAGTCTTGCCATGTCAGCAGCACTGTGACGCTGTTGGTTGGTTGGTTGGTGTGGGCTCATAGCTTCATCTGATTTATTTATTTGTTTATTTATATTATTTACATAAGATTACATTATCCAGTGTATATATGTGTATATTTATTTATTTAGGGAAATGCTAAATATATCCATTGTCTTATTAAATATACTCGCCTTGATTAAGAATATGATAATTATGATGAATGTGGTTAATTTTTATTGGTTGTAGATCCAATAGTGGAGAAATGAATCTAGAGGTCATTTATTTATTTGCATGATGGTTAAAATGGGTCGATTCAGTAGAAACTCTTCTTTATTTATTTAATGTTTTTTTTGTAAATTCAAAACATTTATTTTTTAGTACATTTTGTTCAAACATGGTTGTTGTTGTTATTATTGACTTGTGGGCAACATGTGAGCTTGTAACCTGTGAGCTTGGAACCTAGTTATTTTCATCTCCATTGGTTTGAGTTTAGTTCAGGTAAATAAACACATATGCATAGTTAACTCCACTTTATTTTCAAGTACCCATCTTGTTATCATATTTGACACTATTCCTTATAGCAAATACAGTCTGAATGCACAATCACATGAGCTTGTAATAATTTATTTTACTAATTTTATGTTATTATTAGAATGTAACTATTTTAAAATAGAAAAAGAAAAAAACACTAATTTTATGAGTTTTTTTATTTTGAAATATTTTATTCTCTTTGCCCTCTTCTCCTCAATTACATATAAGTCTTTCTTTATTATTATGTTATAGAATTCTTTTGTATATTTTTTTTTGGTAGAATTACTTGTTTCTGATTTAATCTTCTTTTTTTTTTTTCTTTTTTTTTTTTTTTGGAAATTAGTCACATACTTCCAAAAAAATGAATGAACACATAAATTAAGAACATGATTTACATACATACACATATAAAGTTTTTACTACCATGTAGCCACCAATTTAGAGTTCAGTTTTATAAATTACAACATTATTGTAATACACATGAGTAGAATTTTGTTTAAATTATATTGATACAGTTGCAAATACGAAATTTTTTAATTTAAACATATATTTATAGATGCTCGTTTACAGACATTTACGTATTTTATTTTTTTTACTTTATTTTAATTTTTTTAATTTTGCATAAATTTTTGAACATAAGTATAACAATATAAGTCCAATGGTAACATCCTTGAGAAATTTCATTAGTTGAACTACCAGTTTCCCAATTTGTGAGATTGAGTAACACTTAATATATACAAAGAGTAGTCAAAGATATTTTTGTTTAAGTCAGATATTTACACTTGTATCTTTTAACACATTCTAATATCTGCTCTCTGAATTTAAAGATAATAGTTGACATGTGACAATTAACAAAAAATATTGTTTTACTGTAAAATATCAACACATGCAAAACTTATGTAAATCAAATAATTGAATATATTATATATATCATTTCTAAAAATTTACATAACACAGTCTGAAGTAAAACATATTCCCCACACGAAAATCCAATCGTTTTCTTAAGATTCCCTTAAAAAATCATTCACCAGAATTGAAATGAAAAGGAAAGAACGGGCTTCCGATGTCTATTACCAAGAGTCTGTACATGAATGGATGAATATGTTCGTTCAACATGAACATAAAATCGGATGAAATATTTTCGTTCGTCTGTAAGTTTTCGTCATCAGGACGACGACCCTGCGGACCCCGTGCGACGGGAACGTTCACAGGGAACAAGAGAGTTCTCAAACGTTCGCGATAAGCTTAGAGTTCTTAACGTCAGGCCGAAAACCTAATTGAGCTCTCTTGAAGGAGTTTGTGTCATCGCTGTTTGCCCCAGCAAGTTTCTGCGGCGGAGCTCCGAGACTTTCAGCCATGGTGGAACGCAAGGGAGAGCGCGTCAGGTTCACTCTCTACGATACCCATCTATTATTTTCTCTTTTTTTTTTTTTTTTTTCCCTTCTTTTCGGTTCGTGCGAGTGTTTTGATTTCAGCGCTGTGGTGTTCTCTGCGGAGATTGTTTGAGTTCGTGCAAGTTTTCAAGGATTTTGGGGAGAGGTTTCTGGAAGGGGGACTGCATGTGAGTCGTTTCTGTTTGTGCCCAGCAACCCTGAAGCTCATTCTGAGTCCCACTGACTGTTTTGGTCGGCGTTGTTGATTCGTGTGGCCTGGCATTGTCTTCTTTGTTGTGTGGCAGGTTGTATGTTCGGGGTACTATCCTCGGCTACAAGAGGTATTATGCCTCACGTACGCTCTTTCTGTGGGCTGTTGAGTATTGTTCTTTTTTGGATAGATTCCTGTGATTTTTCCTTTGCGAAAAAATGACACATTCTGTCCTATGCATTACATCGATAGGGACATTGGAAATAGCGATTCCTTGGTTTTTAAGGGACCGTCAGTATGATATTTTGATCCAGATGTAAAGCCGAATTATCGTTTCTTTATCACGGTAGTACTGTTATTCTGAGAATGACATTCATGCGAATGCAGGTCGAAGTCTAATCAGTACCCTAGCACTTCCCTCCTTCAGATCGAAGGTGTGAACACCTCCGAGGAAGTTAACTGGTACCTCGGAAAGAGGCTGGCTTACGTTTACAAAGCCAAGACCAAGAAGAACGGTTCTCAATTCCGGGTTATTTGGGGCAAGGTGGCGCGGGCACACGGTAGCAGTGGAGTCGTTCGTGCCCGCTTTAGGAGCAATCTACCCCCTTCGTCCTTGGTATGTTAGATGTTCACGTTATCTCCACCATTCCTCATTCCTTCTGTACTCGTAATGGAAGCACGAAATCACGAAATTTCCAACTGTTGTAGCATGCCCTGGTATCACTTAACCGGTTCCGCCCCAGTATGTCTGTTATTTTGTTTGCAAAGTATGTGATGTTAAGCAATTCATTTGCCTTGTTGAGGGTAAGGCGTTACATCTAGATTGTCTTACTGAAATATGTTTATTGGATTTACTATAAATGTCATGGATTACTGTAGTACACGAACATATTAATTGTTTAGCGCCACCAATTATTTGTGTCAGTGTCTGTTTTCTCTTGGACCTTGTGAAAAACACTTCCGTTGATTTTGGTAATGGCATGTGTGTACAGGGTGGCAGAGTGAGAGTGTTCATGTATCCTAGCCGCATTTAAACTGGTAAGGAAATCATCGATTTTTTAAGTCCTGAACGGTCTGAGGTTGTCGTGTTGAAGAGCTTTTCTTCATTCAGTCATAAATATGATGAATTCACGTGAGGTTTTATTTTATTTTTTTCATTTATAACCTAACCAGAATTAAGTGGCAAGTTAGACTGGTATACTGCAGTTAGTCCGTATCTAGATGGTGCATCATGTTGCAACTAGTATTTTAGACTTATTTATTATTCTTAGTCTATTAAGCATGTCATGAATACTTACAGTGTCCATACATCTGTATGTAGGAACCATTGTACCGGACGAAGATATCACTTCTACCAGTTAGACTTGTGTTGGGTATTATATGGTCAGGATCTGTGGAGCAGTCAGTGATGGCGTTGGGTGTTTACATGTTATCAGCATTCCTTCTCGAGGAAAAGTAAATTTTCAAATTTGCAATTGTCACTTCACGTGGTTCCACTTTCGGGTCTGATTCATTTGATCTGCATGAGAGTAACGCTACTGCGCAGTAGTATCTTGAGATTTTGAATCATTGACGAGCTGAATTGAGATCTGAAACATTTTTAGACTTTCTCTGACTGGTTACCATTTAGAAATTGAGTATATGGAGGGGTATGTCTATACAAAGCTGTCTGAATGGCAAATCTAAAATGGCAAATTTAGAAGTTCTGTGCATGAGAGTTTACTCTTGGGTTGTTTTAGGCATCAACTAATATAAAGCAAGGTCATTATAAAAGAGGGAGCAGTTTTCTTTGTCTGGGTCCCAGCTAATGATATGTCTAGAATGTTATGTCCTGAACTTGATACACCCATACCCATTTGTACTCCATGGTTTCATATTATCTCAGCCTTCGATTGCTTTGTCCTTGCAAAATTTTATCAAATTAATTTTGGAATAATAGAACATGAAAAATTGTGTTTTATTAGTGATTTTATTCACCAATGTCATATATAGATACTTTAAAGAATCTCATTTAAGAATCAAAACTAGTTTAGTTTTGCAAGCTGTGTATGTGGGGTAAACATTCATTGGTGTCCATGCAATTAAAGGGGGTGTCTACCAAGGGAAAAAAGTGAATCAAAAAATGCATTCTAAACTAGTTATGAACATTTTATACTCATCGACAGGGGATATATTACATTACAGGGGATTTACGATTACATTAGAATTATTGATGATATATTACATTACATAGGCATTATGCTAATTTGTGTTGGAATTTTAGACTTTGTTATTTCGATCATTGATTTATTGATGGATTAGAGATGAATCTAAGTTGTTACTAATGTAATCAATTCCAAGTGCAATACATAATTTAAAGTATTTTAAAAAAAATATCATTAATTTTACATAGTATTTATTAAGAAAGACTTTTATATAGATGTCATTTTTATGTACTTTCATGTATAAATAAGTTAGAATGACAACCTAATGTGAATAAAACCTTTTCTAGATTCTAAATAATAATTTTTACCACTTTGGACTTAATTTATTTTGTCAAGTTGATTCTATAGAGAAAGTTGCCCCAGATTTTGCTCATATATATATATATATATATATATATATTTGGAATTGCTAACATTTTATTGAATGTATTGCATTATATCTTATTGCATATATATATGTATACAGATATATAAAACATTTGAAGCATATTCTGTTGCATTGTTTTTTGAATATATAATAATAAGTTTTTAGATGTCTTACTAATTTGTATGATTATTGTATTACTTGTAGGATGAAAAATCAAGAAGGGTTGCTAAAACAATTATGTGAGTGAGTAAAAATATCTTGTTTCTAATTATAAAAGTGTTTGCATGTGACCAACAACAAATAAATCTAACAAAACCAAAGAAATTTCTTTTTGAATATAAACCAAAATATTACAATCATTTTTATCTATTAATGATATGTTTTGAATAATACTTGTAAATTCTTAAAAGAGCAATGTAATTTAATGAATTACAAATACACTAATTTTTTTCTATTCTTGTATCTATTTAATATAACAAAATGGTAGAACATATTCAAATATATATATATATATATATATACTATCAAGTATGCAAGATCATTGAAGATTTTTTTTTGTTTTAATTTTAGTTTCCAATATTAAGAGTAATATTTCAAAAATACAATATATTCTTTTTGAAAGTTTGGTTATTGACAATTGTCAAATAAATGAAATCAATCAAGTATTGAAGCAATATTTGATGTTCATTATCAAATACTAACAAAATAAATAAATATTCTTTTGTATTTTTAATATATATATATATTTATATTTCTATTCAATATTTATTTTTAATAAATGGTTTCAATTTAATTTATAAAAGATATTATATTATTTGCTAAAAAATTGGTTATTGTAGAATAAAAAAATAATTTAAGTTTGGATTTGAGTACATGTTATTGATATTGAGGACTTAATTTGAAGTTGCTTGAAAATGTTAAAAAACAATATGTGGAAACTTTGGAGTTACTTTATGAAACTTTAGTGCATGTTGAACATATTCCATATCAAGATGTCAATCAATAAATTTTTTGTGAATCCAATTTCCTTCTTTATAGATAACCTTGAAGAGTATGAAACAACATTCTTTATATATATATATATATATATATAATTCTCCAAATTTAAAAATTGAACTTATTATTTTATTTCATTGTTAAACCTTTGTAGCATCACCTTGTCTTCACTTACAATTTGCAACTTGTATTGCAAACCAAATTCTACATGTTGTGAGTATTAACAACACTTGTGATTAGAAGCTCAAAAGGTTGTCACTAACTAGACTGTAGACTATATTATTCTCAACTAGCAATTGAAGTGCATATTATCTTATTATGAATTCTAACTGGTGTACATTACAAATATTATGTTTTTTATTATTTATTCTATTTTTTTATAGATCGTCGTACATTTAATATGTTGAATATGTACAAGAAAATAATAATTTTTTTTGTATTATTTTTTATTTGTGGTTTACGAAAAAAAATTCAAACAAAACTTTAAAATCATGGATAATATGCAATATAAAGTATATATATAGTATTTCCTCTTATAAGTTTTAGGATTGATTCACCTTCCAAAATATAACTTATAGGAGCTTAAAACTTACAAGGTTTAGCCAAAATTATGAACTTGCTCAAGTGTCCATTTATTGCAAGCCTAATGCTTTTCCTCCTATACATCTAAGACCTGCATGCTTTACATAATGTTGCATTGTCATATTGCAACATGACTATATGGTGAAAATATAAATAGAAAAGATTTATTAATATTTAGTCATCTTGGATTTTATAAACAGTGGCCAATTCCAGTGCCAATATTCAGGGGCTAGTTAATGTCACCCTATTGCAAGCTATACTACCAAACGTGACAACAATATATGCTCCACCGGCGTCATCGTACCAAGTATCCTCCGTACCAACGTGACGACCAAGATTATTTTCTAATCCTACATGAAATAAGTCTAGTAGGCATATACCAGTGGAGACACCCAATATGCTTGATGGAGGTGCAAGAAGACCACTTCGTTGTTTCCATTGCAGACAAATTGGTGATTATGCTAGTGAATGTCCCAATCCTAGAGCTAGTGACAATTACAAGCCAGTGTGTAGGAATAGCAAGCAGTCGGGGCATACTTATCAGCAATGTAATGCTCCGTTCAATTTCAATAATCGAGATCAGCAGATCCAAAGTCAGGGAAAAATTGAGGGAATAAATCGAGGTCCTCAAGATTCTCAGATAAATTGGGTGGAATAAGTCCGAGCCGTTGTTACTAGGAGTCGGCAAAAGGAGAAAGGACCAATTCAATATTCAGGTGAGTCTGATGTAATGGACAAATTTGATCTAATTACGAGGATATCCAATCTAGGTCCTGGTATGGGCCTCTTACCCAGTATGAGACCTGACTCAGTTGGGTAATGCAATGAGGTCCCGAATACGGAGGCTTTGGTTTTATTTCAAGCTGTTCCGTTCTCTATGCCGTTTTGGAAAAATGTTGTTTCCGTGGAAAGATCCTCTTAGAGACGGGAATTCCATTGAGGCGGGTCTGCTGTTCCAATTTGGAGTCCAAGGCAGAAGAATAGGAGATGTCATGGAGTTAAAAGAGAGGAGAGAAAAAGAAAGTGGGCATTCAAAGATCGGGATTTTGGAGTCAAAGAGCTAGCTTTAAGCTCCTTCAAAAGGTGTAGAATTGGATTTTATAGGGTTAGGAGGACTTTGCAATCGTTGCTCAAAGTCAGTGTTTGTATTGGTGAATTGGATTTTTGCAATAAAGTAAAGGCTAGTACTCCTCACTGTTTTGCAAAATTAGAAAGATATCTGTGGTTAAAATTTTAGAGGTGTCTAGATGGTTGAATATTCTAAGTGTATGCAAAAATTTGTGTTAATCTTATGGTACGGATAGAGGATATTTGATCATTAGTATAAAGAGGTATCAAAAGTTGGCATATTGGAGTTGTTTAGGATTTTTGTAATATCTAAGATCTACCGACTGGAATAAGGTGAATTTTGACACGGTAAGTCGAGGACTTAAAGGCATAGCTGCACACAAAGTTTGAATGAAAATTAACGGTCACAGAAGGAGAAATTGCAAGTTAAAATTCATCATCAACCTTCTAGGTGGCGGTTAAGGGACTTCAACGTGGATTTATGGTGTTCTTGCAATCTGTAAGTTGGATTGGATTGAACTTCTTAAGCATTTAGAAGACTTGTAAAGATAATATTGGTAGAAGTCTCACAACAATCGGAAGGTCAGATTGAAAATTAGAGCTTGCCGAGGCTCGTTGTCTAGGGTTAGGACTTTAAAAAATAAATAAAAATAAATAATAAAATAGAAATAAAAATAACAAATAATAAAAAGATCTCTGCTTATAATATCCAAAAGCTATTAAAAATAGTGTTCTAAGCACTTTGTATTGGGATTAAGCTTTTATATTGAAATCCGAAATAGTTTGTGTTTAGATAGTTGAAACCCACTAGACTACTTGAATACTTCTAAAACATCGTTTTATCTTCCACACCCAGATGTCCAGTGCATTCTCAAGCTTGATAGCATGTAATACGATATAAGTGGTGAAACCGACATGAAACGCTTGAAGTGGGAGGTATTGGGATTCTTTTATTTCATTTTTATTTTATAGAGAACGAGAATAAAAATTTTGAAGGAGCTTCAAGTGGAGCTTCTTCTAAAGGACAAGGTATGTACATGGTTCCATCCGTTGTTGGTATGTTTCAAGCCTTATCATTATCTATGCTGCAATAGTAAAGCAATGATCACAAAGAAGCTTTAGCAACCAAAGCATTGCAAGTAGTGGTCAATAAAATTGATCAATTTGATGGAAGGGATATTTCAAAGTATTTAAGATGTTATGTTCGGGAAATGGAAATAAATCGGATTTCTGAGAAGAAGATGGTTGAATTATTTGGACTTGCCACAATATCGGAAATAAGA